AGGTCCATCCGGTTCCCCCTCCACAAGTGGTCCAGAACCGGCCTAGCTATCCTACTGATACAAATCAACTGGCTGAACAAATCAATAAAAAAAATTTGTTTTATTGCTTGTTACAAAATTGTTTGTTTTCTTTACACCAGTTGATTTGTATCATCATTCTGTTCAAAAAAGTATTAAGGTAAAATGATTAAAAAATGAAGATTTTACAAGATATTTTGTAATTTACGTCAAAATATTGGAACTTTCATATCTTAATAACTCAAAAAGTTCTTAATAAAAAAATACTTTATTATAGCGTTTTGGAAAGCTCTCGAGGTTAGCTACAAGAATATGTAATAAAAAATAGGGGATGCCATTTAAAAAAATTGGTGTGACCTTTATGTGACCTTCAAATAATTCTTCAAGGTCAAACCAATGATACCGTCTTATGGCCCCCTCGAAACCATACAACTTTTGTCTGAAACTTTTTTTGATTTGATGTGCAGTTCTCGAGATTTCTCGTTGCCTCAAGATAAAAAACTCACCCTGTATATTGCATACATTTTTCCACATTTAATTGTATTTTTCAAACAGTTTTAGCAATCGGCGTTACATTCCGTATGTTCCTCGAAGCAGTTATACGCCATCCGTTTCTCGACATGAAACTGTTTCGTGCAAGAAACAGCATGATGCGTAAGTACCCTAAAATTATTGTATATTTGTTCATACTTTTCCTGATTTACTTGTATTTATTTTACTTTATGTATTCTTTCAGTTCTGATAAACCTCGTTACACGCCTCGTATCATGAGCAGGAGATTCGCCCTGACATCTACTGCGTACAAATACTTGGATGTTGGAATCTGCGTGGTACCTGATGCATCCTATGTGGAATTCATTCTCGGCGACAATCGTGGAAATAAGATGGCGTTAAATCATTCAACGTGGATGGAATTTAACAAGAAACGTGCCGAAATAGAGCAGCTCTTTAAGTCATCAGACGCATCATCATCGGTACAGATTGACAATTTAGTTTTAGAACTTGTTAGAATGTACAATAAAAAAGTTGTAAAATTCACGTTAGATGACACTTGCATGTACATGAACATGTCAACTGTATTATTTTTACTCAATCTCGAACATTGTGTGGAGCATGTATATCGCAAACTGTCGGAGGATATAGAAGCTGTAAATGAAAGCTTCGATCAATTTGTTTGCAAAGTAATATGACCAGTGCTGAGAGAGATGATGCAATTGGTATACTGTACGAGGTGTATGATAAAACTTCTGTCATAGATTGTGAATTAATAGTTTATGCTGTAGGTGAACTTATTGCTGAAACCTTAAAACGAGGTGATGAACGAAAAAAATTAATAATTGTATAATAAATAAAATTTTCATCCACTAACATTTTTTTCTTCTGCTTCCTACCCATACATATAAAATCGAGATATGAATAAATTTAAAAATATGCTGTGGAACGGAAAGTGTGCAAACGGAAATAAGTATAGGATACGTGTGGAAAAAGAAATTAATGCAATATTGATAGAAATATATTTATTTTGTAAAAAAAAACACAAGTTGTTACATATTTATTTCTCATGCATAAACCACCAATTGTAAAGTTTAAAAACATTTTGTAAAGCACAATTCGCTTCATGTCTATGGCAACGCACAGTGTGCGCAACGTCCAACTTATTTAGAGATAGTATGTCTTCGTAGTGCGCGTCGATAGTTTCGATATAAACATTTTCTCGCGCATCGTCCAGGAGTAACCTCCGCAGCCATTCTCGTTTTTCAAGTCCCTTAACATATACGAGAGAAAATCTCGTCTCGTCATCGCTGTCGTCGTCATCATCATCATCCTCCTTCTCCTCTGTACGAACCACGGCTGTTGTAATCAAACTTCTAGCTCTGCTGTATGGAATCACACCGTCTTCCCATCGTACTCCGTGACGATTTGAAATCAACCAGGATGCTTGGTGTTGCTCCGCTTTGGTGAGGCATTTCCATGGTACGGGACATGTGAAAATGTAGTGAGAGAGAACACATCCTTCTCTGAGAGAGGCAAACTCTTTTACATAAAAGTTTCTGCTAACGATAAAACCTTGCAGGTCCACAAACGTTGGTATGGGCATGTCGAGACTTGTTTGGACACGTCGAGACTAGTTTGAACACGTCGAGAGAAGGAGAAATATTACGGTTCGTCTTGATGCGTGGATAGATTTTAAATCCTTTCATCCTCTCTAAAACGGTATTGGAAAGAGGGGGGAAACCAGTTTTCTTTCAAACTGTCATACTTAGGTGATTTTGCGTACGACATTTGTCAGCGGGTTGTACTGAACAATTCGACCGTGTATAATGAGACAGTACGCAGTGGTATTATTCGATACATTCTCTTTACACTCAAATTCCAATCTCACGTCCACGGTCGCGTTCTTGACCGATTCGTTTTGTCGAGAACAATCGATGATCACAAACGGACCATATTCTAGAAATTTGTAGACAGTGAGACCTGGCGCAAGATCATCGTTTCTACAATAGCTCTTCAGGAATCGTAAATACGTATCATACAGACTCGAATATTTTTCTTTTTCAAAATCCAGATTCATATCGTCATATGGATAACGTTCAGATAGAGTTTTACATTGCTCAATCTGCAATGACTGAATTTACACGCATTCTCAGACATTATATTCTTCCGACCTGTTTGCACAACGAAGATAACATACCGCGGCTTCTCGAGCTGAGTAGCTGTTTTAATAGCCCACGAATGTTTAGTCGTCTGCTGCAATAGCGGAAACTCATAGAGATCCCATGAACGAAAACCCATGTTGAGATATTGTCCACTTTCCAAAGCACGCAGCATCGATAGCTTGTTCACCTCGTTTAACAGCACATGAGGCATTCGCCATTGTATCTTGAATATTTCAAGCTGAGGCTCCAGCGCAGCATTTCCAAGCAGACAATTGTTGTCATTGCGCGATCGTATTAAAATCAATTCGTGACGAGCGTTAATCACCACGCGTTTGTAATCTTCACAGAATCCCAATAGCATGTTGAGCGGTACGCTAAAATCGAAATCTCCCTTCCCATTGAACTTCACATCCCAGCCAGCATTCTTCAGAGCCGTCATTTTATTGACTCATGCCGAGTAGTTCTTGAGCGTGCTGGTTATTCCAACGTTTCTGGCACGATCAATCTCCACACCGTTAAGTTCATATCGAATCTCATCGAACATGAACGCGACACAATTATTTCCCAGTATTACATCAGATCCTTCGATTTGTTCGGCTGTAGTTAGTTTTCCTTCGATGTACAGAAAACTTTCATGTGGCAACGTATAGAGATCCTGTTGTTGTATAGGTATTCTTATCTCATCGCTGTGTCCAAATGTTGTGTTGGCGAATGGGTTGTACGAGTGAGTCTCAATCTTGACAATGCGATCGTTGAAGATTGGCTCCTTCCCGATGTTGAGGATGTCAGTCATTGTTTGCGCACCGCGAATCCCAATGATTTTAAAAATTCCACGTTCGATGTATTGAGCTTCTTTTTCCCACTGCAATCGGACGACTTGACACTGCGATCAAACGTTGATATCGTTGGCTTCTTCAAGATTGCGTTATTTCTCACAATTTGCTCCGATCCGTTCAACACGAGCATAGCATATACACTGACGCACGCGTTATCGTCAACAACGTCGTACGTGCAATCTAATGGTAATCTCTTCTCCGCGAAAGTCGAGCAGTCGTCCGTTCTGGTCCGCAACGCGTATCGTTAAATCGGTAATGCTCCGTGCGATGACTGGCAGGTAAATGATCTGCGCCGGTGTTTCCGATATCTTATATCCAGGTGGAACGCTCGGTGAAAATTTATGTATCGTGTCTACGGGCTTGCTGTTGCTGTACGCACCCGCGGTCATGTTGCACTCTACGCGAATAATGTTCACATTGGTAATGTTGATCGGCAGGTCTGATTCATGCCACTTTCGTGGTTGCAGTATACGCGTCGATGAGAATCCCAGAAGCGATCCAATGCTGTTAGGCCTGTTAAAGTTTATTTCGAAGGCGCTTATAATTTCACTCCTCATCGTATTGTAATTAGCGCGCAGCACTATCGGATATTCTGCATCTTCGTTGAAATCGTCTGTCTGAACATCACCGCGTTTTTTATCGCGGTTATTAGTACCAGTCTTGAAAATATGTTGCGAACGTTTTCGCGAAATTGCATTTTTCAAAAACTCATTTATCGCTTGCAGTTCGTAGGATCCTTCGGGAATTGTAATTTCCGTATCGTCAAAGTAAAATTTATTATTCGAGGCATTCACGTTCGATATCGTGTTGTAAGTCGAAAAATTCGTCAAACCGAGCTCATAGTTGCCATCACTCAAATCTATGGCGGGGAAGTTGTTTGCCGCGAGGACTCCACTCCTCCCGGTCAGCGTGAGTGTCAGCGACATGGTGGATGAAAAACTGCTCAGCGTGTACTGAATCCTCGCAACACCTCGTCGGGCTTTTAAATTCACAAGCGTGAGGCATCGACCGTTTGGAGAAACCGTAGACTCAGCTGTCCACAGATGCTCTGATCGTAGGTCTGATGGGACGTTCGATTGTACTCTATCGTCACCCAGTCAGAAATGATTGGTCGAATCGACGTCGAATCGATGTCGATGAATGGTCGATGAATGGTCGATGTCGATGACTAGTCACTTATTTGACTTATTTTTGTCATTTTCGACCTCATTATAAAGATTGTTTTTATGTTAATTGCAAATTGCAAATATTTTTATAAGAGACATATAATGTAACTGTGGCGGATTTGTCATCATATGC